ACTTTAGGGAAAGAGTGCTTTTTCTTTATAAAGTACAATGAAGAATCAAACTTTAGCTTTTTCTTTTTCAGTTCTATTTTTTCTTGGATTCTCAACTATCACAATGCCCTTTGTTTTCTTTTTCTTCAATTCTCCCTTCTTGGTTGTTTCTGAAACTTACAAGCACCGATTTTGTGAGACAATTTCTTTATTCTCAGTGAAAAATTCACTTTAGTCCCCCATTATTTAAAGTTCACAGGCAAACCTTTGGCTTTTTTACTTTTTCTTTTTAAATGGGGGAGTCAGCATAACACTTCCAAGTATTGAAAGAAAGAAAAAGCCTCAATTGATGCATATGAAAGAAGGAAGTCCCCTTCCTTTCTAAATGGTAAGCAAGAATTAGACTGTTATTTTTATTTATTTTTTGTTTCTTTGCAAAAGCTGCAACAAGTGATGTTTTCAGTTTTCTGCATGAACAGAAAAATTTTCGTGCTAAAATTCAAATATTCTGAGATACAAGTTAGTTCAATTTTTTTTTATTCAATCCTCCAAGATTTTAAATTCATAATGTGTTATTCCTACCCCTTTCATTCTTTAAGCTAATCACTTCCTCTCTGTGCGCTTCTTCACTTTAAAAACTACAGATCACTGTTTTTATGCTAGCTTCATCAATCATGCTTACCCTGAATGGCTCCATTTGTCTGAAAAAAAATTAGTTGATACTAACTTTGAATATTTTATACTTTCCAAGCTATTGTCACTGTCAGCTAACAACTTGCTGTAATTTCCAGAGCCAGACCAGGAAATGAAGAACAGTTAAGCTCAGAAGCTGGAACTATCACCTGCATTTATTTTGCACCAAACAAGACTCATGAAGTTACAGTTCTCTACTGTTGTACTTATTCTATTAGGCTCCACACTCTCTCTATGTGGCCTGATTGTAGCTGACTTGAGTTCTGACCAACAAGCTCTATTGGAGTTTGCTTCTAGTGTTCCACATGCACCAAGGCTCAACTGGAAGAATAACTCTGCTTCAATTTGCACCTCATGGGTTGGTGTGACTTGCAACTCAAATGGAACACGTGTCATAGGCCTCCACCTTCCAGGAATAGGATTATCAGGGTCCATTCCAGAGAACAGCATAGGAAAACTAGATGCTCTTAGGGTCCTGAGTCTTCATTCCAACGGCCTTCGAGGAAATCTTCCTTCTAACATCCTCTCCATTCCTTCACTCCAATTTGCATACCTTCAGCACAACACCTTCTCTGGCCTAATTCCTTCTCCTGTGTCCCCTAAACTCACCGCATTAGATATTTCCTTCAACTCCTTTACTGGCAGCATCCCTCCAGCCTTTCAGAACCTTAGAAGACTCACTTGGTTGTATCTCCAAAACAATTCCATATCAGGAGCTATTCCTGACTTCAACCTTCCAAGTCTCAAGTATTTGAACTTGAGCAACAATAACTTGAATGGCTCAATTCCAAATTCCATAAAAACATTCCCTTATACTTCTTTTGTTGGAAACTCTCTCTTGTGTGGAGCACCTCTCAACCATTGCTCTACAATCTCCCCTTCTCCTTCTCCTTCTCCTTCCACTGATTACGAGCCACTCACTCCACCAACGGCACAAAACCAAAAAGCTCCCAACCATAAGAACAACTTTGGCCTAGCTACTATACTTGCTCTAGTTATTGGGGTCATTGCCTTCTTCTCTCTACTAGTTGTGGTGATTTGTGTGTGCTGTTTGAGGAGGAAGAAAAACAGTGAAAGCAGTGGCATACTGAAAGGAAAGGCTTCTTGTGCTGGTAAGGCTGAGATTTCAAAGAGTTTTGGAAGTGGTGTGCAAGGGGCTGAAAAGAACAAGCTGTTTTTCTTTGAGGGTTCCTCTCATAGCTTTGACCTTGAGGATTTGCTGAAGGCTTCAGCTGAAGTTCTTGGAAAAGGAAGCTATGGAACTGCATACAAGGCTGTTTTGGAGGAGGGAACAACAGTGGTAGTTAAAAGGTTGAAGGAAGTTGTGGTAGGAAAGAAGGAGTTTGAGCAACAGTTGGAGATTGTGGGGAGAATTGGAAGCCACCCCAATGTGATGTCCCTAAGAGCTTATTATTATTCCAAAGATGAGAAACTTCTGGTTTACAACTACATGCAAGGTGGCAGCTTGTTTTTCTTGTTGCATGGTACGTTCTACTTGATGACAAAACTCTTCTCATTTTGTTCCCAAGTAACATGTTTTATGATTTCTACATGAGCCTCTCATTTTTAACTAAACTACGACAAACCAACTTTACTCAGTATCAATCATTGCTCATTAAATTCAAATAGGAACTGAAACTGACAATGACAGTACAACCAACTTGTTTCCACCATGTCATCGATGATATGATCTCATGCCAATATGGTTAGATAGCGTACACACAAAAAAAAAAAAAATTGTAACACCGTTGACTCTTGATATTAAAACAGTTCTTCAATACATGTTTGTAGAGTGGTAGTAAGCATATTCGAGTTTAATTTCTACACACAGATAATCGATCAATAATCATCATTATTATAACTTTTAAGATAATCATTATAAAAGTCAACAAACTTATATAAATATTAGTTTGTGATCAGATAGCTGTGTAGTAACAAAATATTTTCAATGCATACATTATTTACTCAACATATTTAACATTATTTATATCATGCCTTGAATTCCTTGCACATGTTACTCTTGGAACTAAAACTAATTGTCACATGTACTAATTAGTACTTACCAACTGCAATTGTAACAATGCTATACCTTTGGTTATTCCAAACAACAGGAAGCAGGGGTGCAGGAAGAACCCCCTTAGACTGGGATTCAAGAGTGAAGATTTTGCTTGGAGCTGCCAAGGGAATTGCTTTCATCCACTCAGAGGGGGGTCCAAAGTTCACACATGGCAACATAAAGTCAACCAATGTGCTCATAACCCAAGAACTTGACAGCTGCATATCCGATGTGGGACTTCCACCTCTCATGAGCACCCCGGCAACCATGTCAAGAGCCAATGGGTACAGAGCTCCAGAAGCCACTGACTCAAGGAAGATCACTCACAAGAGTGATGTCTACAGCTTTGGTGTGCTGCTGCTGGAAATGCTGACAGGGAAGACACCACTTAGGTATCCAGGGTTTGAGGATGTGGTTGATCTTCCAAGGTGGGTGAGGTCCGTTGTTAGAGAGGAATGGACTGCTGAAGTGTTTGATGAGGAGCTTCTGAGAGGGCAATATGTTGAAGAGGAAATGGTGCAGATGCTTCAGATTGCATTGGCTTGTGTGGCTAAGGGGCCAGATAATAGGCCTAGAATGGATGAAGTTGTTAGAATGATTGAGGAGATTAAGCACCCTGAGTTGAAGAACAGGCCATCCTCTGAGTCTGAGTCTAATGTGAACACTCCATGAATCCTTCATATTCTGTCTTGCATGCCCTCAGGCCTCAACCAATAAGCATGTTTCATTGTAAAACACTGATGTTTTTTTTTTTCCTTCATGTTGGCCATAAAAGTTTCCTTTCATGTTTCACATTATTTGTTGAGTTATGAAACTTTTGGCTGATTGCTCTTCAGTCGATGGAAATAATTCAAGTTCCATTTTGTAAACCAGAGGGCCCCATAACTTGCATTTTCTTTTCCTTCCAATCACACACACAAATGAAGAAGTATCAACAAAGTCCTAACTTATTAATGATCAGTCATATTTTGACAAGAATTTTTTTTTAAAAAAAAAGGAAAATCCAAAGAGGAAAAAAGGAAGTGTAAAAGGAAATGTCCTTAAAATTATCTTTTTGCTTTCAGCACTTGGAATGAAGATATTCTAGATACTTCTTTGGAGAATTATGTCCATTAATTTAAAATTGCTTTGCCCTTTAGTAGATCACATGTGGCTGTGATACTATGGCTTGGTAATTTTTATAAAGATCAAATTTATTTTTAATTTCTGAAAGTATATCATTTTTGAATCTCTGTTTAAATTTTAATTATTTTTAATTTTATATTTAACAATAATAGTAAACGTTTAGTCACCATGTGTTTTTAGTTTTGGAGAGAGATTAAAATTATATTACTTTTGTTGAATATAAAGTCCAAAAATGAATCAAATTTAAAGAGAGATTAATTCCAAAATCGTATTTCTGGAATAAAATACATATTTATGCCTTTTCATAACTAGCAAGAAAATCATGAATCTAGATGAAACTTATCTTGAAAATAGGGTCTTGTTTTTATTTATTTTTCTAGAAATTTAAGAACTCTGTTAAAAAAAATAAAATTATAAAGACATATTTAAAGAAATTGATGAAATAATATATATAGAAAAAAAAACTTAGAAAGAAAACTAACCGGTGTAAAAGTGCAGACATGACATGAAAATTTAATGCATATACAAAAATTCATTGAAATAGGTTTTCAAAAATCTGAGTGCGATGATAATCAACATGGACACTTATCAACAGCGTTTTTGATTGGAACTTTTTAGGATTTTTTTTTACCTTCGTATCTAATTCAAATTTTTATTTATCATATTATTTATAAATAAAATTTAATATTTAAAAAAAAAACTATTAATAATTAAAAAATTTGAGTTATAATATAAATTATTTATCTTAAATTTAAAATATAAGTTATATGTTTAAAATATTTATTTATGCAAATCTAAAATATAATAATTATTTGTATATATAATTTATTATAAATTTTAGTTATGTATAATAAATATTTAATCATAAAATGAAGAATTATTCAATATTTGCTTGACTTTTTTTATTTTTCATATTTACTCATATGGTCACATCTCCATGTGGCAAAAGAAAAAGATTAGATGATATTTTGATACAATCAGTTTCGAAAACTTGCAGCAAAGTTATGGATATAAGATTCACACCATTGCACACTTATGAATTGGCTTTTTATCAACAAATATTCGCATATCTGACAGTGAATGAGATTTGGACCGTGATAAGGCCCGCTCATTCCTGACCATAATGGCCCATCCCTCATTCATGTCCAACATACCACATGGATTCTGTACCTAGTGGGCCCTAACCTCAGGTAATAACTAATATAGCATCATGTATATAATAAATAATGGTGACTAAAAAAAATTAAACCGAACCCAACTAAATTATAAAAATTATAAGAACAAATTAAGTATTTTTACACTATCATCAATGAATAAATTAAGAGAAATAAATGGTGGAATGAATTTCTGATTATAGTAAGAATGTATGACCATTAAAACTCAAAAGTTAAATTGTTTAGAGAAAAAAGAAATCAAACCAAACTAATTTATAAAAATAAGTTGGTTCATCTCTATTTGAATGATTATTGGAAGCATGACCTAAGAATTTGAATGACATAAATTGTGGTGCATGTGGTGTCTTGCAAAGAACATGTGGTGGTGTCATGCATGGAACATCGAACAGCAGTTTGTTGATAAGGATAGACAGCAAGATTCCCTCTATAAATCCATTTGTGATTTGATGTTACATAAGGAAGCAATTCCTGCAGAGTCTATTTTATAGATCCATGTGATGGTAAAGGGAAAAGGGAAATAGCATTTTGGATCATCCCTTTCTCTTTTTATGCTCAAGAGAAAACGATCCACAACATGTTAATGCCTAAATTCTTCAATTTCCTCTTTCACTTTAAGACTAGACTATATTTTTCTTAATAAAAATTGTGCCTTAATCTACTTTTTAAGTAATCCACTTAATTTCGTCTTGCATATGAAAGTTTCTATCAACAAAGTTACTTAGTTTCTCTTCGGTATCTCATTCTCTCTAGTATAAGTATGCATAAATGTTAATTAACTTATAAGCAATTTCCTTAAATTTTGAATAAGTCAATTATATCAAATTTTATATATTAAATACAAATTATCATTTAACGTTAGAATATTTGTAGATTTTTTTTCAATGAAATGATTTTATAGATTCTTTTAACTTTTTATTTAATTTAATTTTTATTTATCATAATTATTTATAAATTAAATTTAATATTTTAAAAATAAATTATCAATAAATAAAAATAATTTTATACTATGATATAAGTTATTTATCATACAATAAAATATAATTTATATATTAAAAATATTTATTTATATAAAATTTAAATATAATTTATATGTTCAAATTTTCAAACATAATATTTATCTATATATAATTTATTATAAATTTTAGTTATATATGATAAATCTTTAACTTGTATTAAAATACAAATATTAAAATAATATTTTATTATTAAACAATCAATAACCAACTATCATTAAAGATTTTCTAACACCGAACATTACTTTCTTTTATATTACCAAAAAAAAAAAAAGGAAAATCTTGTGTTAGTTTACTTACACGATATAGAAAGGAAAAAAAAATTGTATATAAAGAATAGTGATGATAAGATAGAAAACACTTGTTGATGTATTTCAAAATTTAAGATTTCAATTCTTTATAATGGTCATAAGTTTGTCTTATAGACAAAGATTAATAATAACCTTCAACACTTAAATTTTATTATTTCCATGACCTAACCCTAATATCACAACATAGCCATCGATTATATATATTAATTTAGTAGTTAACTGTTGTAGAAGGTAAGAGTGATAGCTTTAAATGCCGTATATAGCATTTTTGATAATTTTTTTCACATTTTTAGACGTAAATTTGTATAATTGTAATATTTTGAACTTAATTTTATTTAACTAAAGTTTACAAACCTAAATCACACAACATAATTATTAAAGTCTAATCAAACAAAATTGGTGAAATTGACTAACTGGATTTGATAAGTAGTCGAATCAGTAAGACAATGATTATGTCTTACAAATATAGTATTATATATATATACAGTTTTATTTATATTTTCTTATCATAAATCATGTTAATTAAAATAGAATATAGAGCAATTTTACTAATTTAACAAATGACCCTCGGGTGGAAGCATTAAATGATGAGATGGGTATTTATATATATAGGATAAGAGCAATTGATATATATTATTGATGATAATTACAAGCAATTAATGTTTGATGTATTGGATGAAATGGAATTGGCAGATGATAATGCTATACAGTTGCATCAAATCCAAGATGAGAAGCAGAAGCTTTGAGAAGCAAGGCAAAGAGAAGGAAGGGAGTGGAGAAGAAGGGGCTATGGTCACTGTCGAGTTGATAGACAGTGCATGGTGGCCACTTGTTAATCATGGCTTCCTGTTGCTCAGCCTTGACCACCTTGTCATGCCGTGTCATAATGTAGACGCGGGCCACCTTCTCCACTTCTCCATCCTCTCTGAATTGCGCACGAGTCAATGCCAGCACTGGCCCTGGCTTCAGCAGCATCGCAGCCAACGTCGAATCCTCAACAAAACAAAACAATATCACCATTAATATTAACACTATTTTTCATGCATACTAAATATTATTATATACATGGTATTCTTTTAGTGAAAAGTTATTATATTTATGTACCTCGTGAGGGCTCAAAGGATAGATGATTTTGCGTTGAAATTCTTTCTTCACCAAAGCACTGGTTGGAGGCTTATCATGTCCCAATCCAAATCCTAGCTCGTACACATCCCCATACTCGGATAAGTCAGGCACCCCCTGCTTCATACAAACCACAAAAATTAAACAAACTTTCTACTATTATTTAGTATTTACCACTGGACCAGAAAAACTAGCTACTCTACTCTCGCAATTATGGCCTAATTAATTAGGCTCCTGAGTTTTTTTTTTTTTACTTTTCAATCATTGGCGATACACTGAACACAGTTAAAATTTGCTATTACCTCTTGAGGACAAACTAGATATGTGGAAAAGACAGGGTTGTCGGATTGAAGGAAAGATATTTGTCAAGTTCTTGTCGCCAAACAAAGATTGCTTACAATGATTAACACAAGGATTGCTATTTTATAGGAGTTTAGATGGCACACAATTATTGATGATAATTCATTAACCAGAGTAGTAGACACATAAGGCAAACTTTATTGAAGTCGCTACGATGATATTAATTAATAAAGACAATTAGCTTTATTCGTACGTTATATAGTAGGCTTTTAGCAGATTGGGTTAGCCTTTGCAATTACATCATTTTCCAGAATCAAAATCTAATTCTATATAATATAAAATAAACCATAACTTCCCGGCGTCAGAATGCCAGCACATTTTATGGACCATTATTAAATTACAACTTTGTTGTCAAACCCTGAAAAGGTGGTAATCTGAGTAGAAAAGGCCATTGACTAAATTTTTAACTCTAATAATAAGATAAGAAAGTATGAATTTTCTGCTATACAAAGGAAAGAAAAGAGGGGATAACATGAATAAAGAAAAAAAGGTCCCTTTCCACCCCCTATTGCTAAACAGCTGCTGGTTTGTTTGCATTTGGTGCTAATGCTAAACTTAAAAAAAATTGAGAGTTGGTACCAGCATATGTAATTTAGTGAGCCTCAGAGTTGGCTATAACTATAATTTTGTGAAGACAGTTGGCAACCAATTATTTCAACACAGCATCACCATCATCCTTGCTGGACACCTCCAACATTCAGCAACAATGGAAGCCAATACACAGAGTCTGGATGGATTTTTAAGAATTTCTTTACTAAAAATACAAAAGTAGAGGAGCTCTTAAAAACCATTATAGACTTTATCCAAACATACTCATACACATCACTATTATATTATCCTATCTCTAGTTCTCTACCCCCAACTTTATGATTCACCATAAATGTTACCAAAGACTAAAATTTCAAAGGAAAAACATGCGGGGCAGAATGAATTCAGACAATCAAATATTCAACTTGACAAAGTAACACATAAAGAGGGTTTGTGAAAAGGACTCACATCTTTAAGATCTTGATCGGTGCAGAATCCGAATTTGAGCATAGTTGCTGCCACATAAACGGCTAAGCGAATTTTATTGGAAAACTTGTGACATGCCTGAGTAATGCTCAACCCTCCAGCACTGTGCCCCACCAATATAACCTATAGTAATAACATCACTGATGGATTTAGTTGATGTAGCCCTCTATGCAATCACATATTCCCATATAATATAAGGTGGAGAAAGAGACATAAGGGGGAGAGAGGGGGGACCAATTAATACAACATATTTCACCACCTGTTCATTCTCAGGCAAAGCAGACATGAAATCCATTAGAGGCTTATTATAATCATCAAAAGACAGGACTGAATCAGCATGAGATTGATCAATTCCAGCACTTTTGAGGTCTATGCATGAGACCTTGTAGCCTGAATTCTCCATGAGGCACCGGATTTTGTACCAGCACCAACTTCCACCACTTATGCCATGTACAAGCACAAAGTGGTGCTTCATGCCTACACCAACTCCTTCTTCCCTCGTAGGCATGCTTTTCTCTCCCTTCACTATCATTTTGCTTTTAACCTTGTTGGTGAGCATATATAGGATAAGAAGAATAGTACCAGTTTAAAGGGTCAACACAAGTAATGATGTTTATCTTTCTAACTTTTCTTCTTAATATTATTATTCGACTACTCAGGGTTTTTTATGTATATATACTCATTTATTCTCTTGGGGGTCATTTCCATTCATCATCGGAACTTTGAAAATGTCTACATAGATAGCTTACACTGTTGACTGCAACTCAGCCTTGCATAAAAACTGGCGTAGGGTGCACTCACAGGATGATTGTGTGCAACAGTTTAGATTCAATTATTTTCTTACTTTATATTTCATTTTCTTACTTTTATTTCCTGTTTAAAACCTTATTTTAATGAACATATTGTATTTCGTATGTAAGAAAAAAATGTTTGATTTTTTTAAATTGAAATATAAGTAAATTTTATTCAAATTAACTTTATTTAATATTTTTAATAAAAAAATATGTTAAGATAATAAATGAAATCACTATTTATTATACGTGTAGTTAAGGATATTTTAAAAAATATAATATATTTTATATAAAATTGTAAAAATTAAATGTATTTAATTAATTTTTTTAATTTGTATGAGATTATATATATATATATATAAGTTTAGAAAGAGTATTACTTTTAATAAATAGCAAAGAATTTGAATGTCATAAAATTGAATCCAATAAAAATTTACTCCGAATACAGTTTTAGCTTTGGAAAAGAAAAAAGAAAAATAGATTGACAATTCAAAGAAGATTTGGCTTTGGAAATGGTGTTTTGGTCTTCAACGGACGGCAAGAATTTTTGTTTTTTATTTAATGCATAGTAACTATTATCTGCTGCGTTTGGTAGTGGAATCGGTCGGTCGTAACACATTAACTTCATTGTTTTTTTCCACATACTTGCTCTGACTTTTTCTTTAGCTCTGTACTTCCTCTGACTTAATTATAACTATAATTTATTAAGCTGAATGCTAATTAAAAATAATAATTTAAATTATTTAATTTAATTAATTTCAATTACAAAAATTTTATACTTTTATTATAACGATTTTTTTTCTTCTAATTAGAACTTAATATTAAGAATAAAGAAGATAATATTAAATAGAATAAAATTTGATTATATTTAAATTCATAATTCATGGGATCTTATATGCTTGTAGTTGAGTATAAAGGAAGCACATTAATTTCTTTCAATATGATGAGTTAGCGAAATAACTCAGCATTATACATTCACATGTCATAAAGACAATTTATTTAGCACTAACTTTATATTTTCTGGTGTTTTGTATGAAATTTTTTGAAATCAATACTATTATTACATTGAGCTGAAAATACTTGTGATAAGAAATAAAATTTTCAATAATCATGTATTTTATTACACATGTTGTTGTGACACATTGGTTTGTTTTTTATCCATGGTGTGCTGTTTTTTTATTAGGATATTGCTGGCCGACAATATCCTTTTTTTTATGTATAATTTATTGGGTATATTTGTGTGGTACTTATAATGGACATTTGTTAGCAGGGCATTTATGTTATAAAACTATACTTTTGTTCATTGCCTCTATGTCTTTCTTGCAACAAGGAGGCTCTTAAATGGAACAACGACACGAGATTTAGCACTACTATTAAAAAAACATAGAAGCTTCAAATCAAGACGAACTTAATAATATTTAAAAATTAAAACTGTTTTTTCATGATTTTCAGCGACTGGAACAACTAATTGGGCCACCATGAATGGCAATAGCTAATCTTCATGAAAAGCCAACACCAACAAAGGCATTTAGAAGTCTAATAATGGTCCCAATTTTGATGGTTCCTTACAAAATATTGGACATTAATTGTATGAATTTAATCCCTGTATATGACTAGAGGTGTAATCATTGACAGGTCTTGTTATAATTGTATAAACTTTTGAGGATTTTTTATTTTATTTTTATGATTAATGCTTTGATTGGAACAGTAAAAGAGAGAGGAGGAGGAAAAGAAGGAGAAAACTCTGAAAATTGAGTTTGAAGGTGTGTTTGGTGAAATGGAAGAGCGTGGAAGAGGAATTGAATTTTTGTAGGTCTTGTATCCAAAAACTCACTCAAGATTCCAGGGAAACGTGTGACATGGTACACGTTGTTAAAAATATGGCCAAGTTAGTTGATTATGTCTAAAATCTTTTACACTTTCAACTATTAAAAAATTATTAGTAGTATGATTTTAGAAATAATTATTTTAAAAATTAATAAATTTATTATATATGATAGTTTGCAAATAAATGGTAATATAAAATTATTTTAAGTTTTTATGTATATATTCTTGCTTCTCATAAATATATATATATATATATATATATTAAAATATAAATAATAAATATAATTATTATAATATATATAATAATAATAATATTTATTAAGTTAAAATTCATTAATTTAAATTTTTAATTAATTTAATATAAATTAATGACAAATATATTTTTAGTCTCTTCAAAATGAGTGGATTTTAATTTGATTCCTATAGATTTTTTCTTTGTTTTTCATTTTCTAAATTTTATAAACATTAATTTTGGTCCTTATAAGATATATTTGATCTTTGTAAAATAAATAAATTTTGATTTTCGTTTTGTAAATTTTTTTCATTTTTTTAAAATTTAAAATTACTATTTTTACCCCTAAAAATAATTTAAAGGTATATAAATAATATCTATTATAATAACCTATAAAAAAAATATTTCAGGTAAATTTAATTAGTATATTTTTTCATTACTAATCTACCTCACGAGAACTATTGTCCTTCAAAAATTTAAGATTTAGGATTTAACAAATATCAAATATGTGACTATTTTCTCTTAACTTAAGTTTATAAATATAAATGACAAATGAAATTAAATAAAAATAATTTATTAATCCATTTAGATTCATTATAAATTTACATAAAAAAATAAATTTTATTCATAAAAATAAAATTTTAAAAATTAAATTAATTTTATGTTTTAAAATATTTTATTCCTCTCTTTTTTTATAAATCATTACATTTTTATTTAATCTTTTAAAATTTATGAAAAAATCTATGTCAAAATAATTTTTTTAAAATTTCAATTTAATAAATACTTTATATATAATCTAATGGATTATGAAAAAATAATGATAAATTATTAACTATTTATAAAATTAAATAAGTAGATTGAATCTAATTTATTATTTATTTTTATTATAATAAATAAATTTATTTATGAACAAATAAAATTAATGATAGATAAATAAATTTATTTGTGACTTCTATTTTAAGCATACGAAAAATATTTAAATCTCAATCATTTTATTAAGCGAAAATAATCTTTCGTCATTGATACCGACCAAATCGGTGAATCCTTGGCATATTCGTAAAATATCTCTTCCTGAGCATTGAAAGACAAAAGTTTCGTCCACAGTTTTTATTTATTAAAAAAATCATTTTTCAAGTGAATAAATAAATAATTTAACTTCACTAATGCGCATTTCAAATTTTTCAATCAGAATTCCCCCCTAAAAAAACATGTACACAGGATTTTTTTTTCTTACATAAATCAACTTTGGGATTCGATGATCAAAAAGTAGTCATGATGCAGTTGTTATGAAATCTAGTTGGGTATGGTGATTAGAAAGTAAAGTAATATAATATTATCATCTGCACATGAATCAAAGGAATGAACCCCGACGTGGTTTAGTGGCAGGGGTTGATCCACGCTTAAGCAAGGTCAGAGATTCGAATCTTGTTTTGTGTATGCAGCCACGTTACAAATTTAAGAAATTTTAAATTTTTAGTATTTGAATTACTTTGATTTTAATTTCTATCATTCTTAAAATATTTTGTTTGGATAAGTCAATTCAAATTTCTTAAATTTTAAATTGTTAGGTTCAATATGATAATTTAATTCCATCATAGTAAAATTAATTTTAAAAATATATTTATATGTTAATATTTTTAAATTAAATTTTATAAAAATAAATATTAATTCATTTTTAAATATTTAATAATTTTAAAAATTAATATTAGATAATATTTAATAATTTTAAAAATTAATATAAGATAATATTTAATAATTTTAAAAATATTTTTGAATATCTAATAATTAAAAGAATGAAGAGATAAAATAAAATATATAGGTGAAATAAAAAAAAACAAATATGAGGAATTTCAAATTCTCCCATTTTTTGAAAAATTTGAAATTCTACTATTTTAAGGAATTTCACAAATGTTTAGATTTCAAATTCTTTGTAAATTTCTCATCTAAACAAAATATTTCACCTCAAGAAATTTGAAATTCTTCAAATAAATGAATTACCCTATATAAATTTCTCATCCAAACACATCATAAACGTTAATTTGGTTAAATCAACATCAATAAGATCATCTAAAATAAATTTTTCAATCACTTCCAAATAGACTGTTGTAGTTGTGCATAACATACAAAAACATCTTTAATGAATGATGGTGTTAAATATGTTTAATTATTTTTAAACAAAATTAAGTTTCTTCATGATAGTATGTGTTTTTTGTGCTTTTAATGTGAGAATATACGTGTATAGCATTTGGTGTTGATTGTTAAGTCTCAATTTTACCTCTTTTTGGATGAGAGATCTTAAGGAGATTCATGCCATTACCCTATCTCAACCTTCTACAAATGGCATGGCAAGACCATTGGCATTTCCGGGACTTATCACAGGATTATGCAAGGCTTTTGGTGTGGTTATTCCTAAACCATTCACATTCATCAATAGACCCATCAATAAAGCCTATTATCAAAACCGGATAAACAATGCCAAAGAATTTGAGCACTTACCAACTCAACCTCATATCTTACCACAACAAGACACACAAGTTCCTCAACTAATACCAGAGGCCCCGTTTGATCTGTCAACCCTAAGGGCTCTTATACTTGAGCAAGATCAAAAGGCAGAAGCACGACACCAAGCACAACTGGAGCAAAGCAAATTACACCTCGCTTATCTTCGTCATTTGCATCTCCAACAGGCTGCCAATCATAGAGCTCACCTGGCACATCATTCCTATTGCTATAATTATACCCTACATCAATCTGAAACAGGAGGTAGTCTTTATCCTTGGCCTACTTTAGAAACTTTTGCTGACCAAATTTTATGGCCTGGGGACAGTC